CCACAGAATGTGCTCAGGATAGATCCGCTTTAGACACGGCATCTACGTAGCTCTGGGGCAGATTTATCCTCCCCACAACTGGAAGGTTTCAATGCGGACATTCTGAGGAGAATAGGTCCGCTCCACAGAATGCGTGCAGAAAAGATCCGGTCCAGAGACGACGTCTTCGTAGCTCTGGAGCGGATCTATCCTCCCCACAACTGGAAGGTCTAACACAGATATTCCGAGGAGGATAGATCCGCTCCACAAAACATGTGGAGGACCAAATTCGCTTCATTCCTCATAACTGAAGGGTTTCATTGCAGACATTGTGAGGAAGATAGATCCACTCCACAGAATGTATGCAAGCTGGATCCGCTTCATAGATAACGTCTTCGTAGCTCTGGGGCGGATGTGTCCTCCCAACAACTGGAAGGTTTCAGTGGAGACACATTCTGAGGAGGATAGATCCGCTCCACAGAATGCGTGCAGAAAAGATCCGGTCCAGAGACGACGTCTTCGTAGCTCTGGAGCGGATCTATCCTCCCCACAACTGGAAGGTGTAACACATATATTCTGAGGAGGAGAGATCCGCTGCACAAGACATGTGGAGGACCAGATTCGCTTCATTCCGCATAACTGGAGGGTTTCATTGCAGACATTGTGAGGAGGATAGATCCGCTCCACAGAATGTATGCGAGCTGGATCCACTTCATAGATAACGTCTTCGTAGCTCTGGGGCGGATGTATCCTCCCCACAACTGGAAGGTTTCAATGAAGACACATTCTGAGGAGGATAGATCTGCTCCACAGAATGCGTGCAGAAAAGATCCGGTCCAGAGACGACGTCTTCATAACTCCGGAGCGGATCTATCCTCCCCACAACTGGAAGGTTTAACACTGATATTCTGAGGAGGATAGATCCGCTGCACAAAACAAGTGGAGAACCAGATTCACGTCATTCCGCATAACTGGATGGTTTCATTGCAGACATTGTGAGGAGGATAGATCCGCTCCACATAATGTATGCAAGCTGGATCCGCTTCATAGATAACGTCTTCGTAGCTCTGGGGTGGATGTATCCTCCCCACAACTGGAAGGTTTCAATGAAGACACCGTGAGGAGGATAAATCCGCTCCACAGACTGTGCGGAGGATAGATCTGCTTTAGACACGACATCTTCGTAGCTCTGGAGAGGATCTATCCTCCCCACAACTGGAAGGCTTGAAGGCGGGCATTGTGAGGAGGATAGATCCGCTCCACAGCATGCGTGCGGAAAAGATCCGGTTCAGAGATGACGTCTTCGTAGCTCAGGAGCGGATCTATCCTCCCCATAACTGCAAGGTTTCATTGCACATATTGTGAGGAGGATAGATCCGCTCCAGACAATTCGTGCAGAAAAGATGAGGTTCTGGGATTACGTCTTCGTAGCTCTGCAGCGGATGTGTCC